CATCTTGATGGAATTTAATATTTGCTCTTAAGATTTTGTTTTTAATCAGAATTGTAATTTTATAGTTCCTCAGGACACTGAGCATTTATAAACATGGAACACCTATGAAAGCACTTTTAAGTAGTGATTTCTGGAACACTGAGATCCCGTTTTATAAATAAATAAGCTATTAAACAATTTTTCAAGTCTCATCTTGAAAACACACCCACTTATATTTTAATAAGATCATAAATAGTAAATCAGATGTAAAGAACAGCTCAAAATAAAACTTCCCAGAGAGCCAAAAAGACATTCCTTTGCATCAAACTTTGTGGCATACCTTTCTGTTTGTACTGACAAATTACAAAATCTATTTTCTATAACATAGCTGAACTAGATAAGCACAAGGATCTGTGAAGTACCTCTAACAAGCATGTTGCTAATTCAAACAAAGAATGACAAACCTGCAAAGGCTATTAAGAAAACAGTAAACACACCGTGTAATTTTCATTATGAAAAGTATTGTTTTGAGACTTCTAAAAAAGATGAAAACATTTTGAGGTTTGTAAGATTCAGATTCTCAGCTTAAACTCAGCATGAGTTCCTCAGTAGGCACGTCATTTTCAGAATAGTACTGAATTTAATAATACTGAAGTACGACAAACTTTAAGACAATAACTATGCAGGTAGCTTTTCAACTTATATATATATGATATCCTCTGCATTTCTTGTGATTGCAAAATTTAGATGTGTACATAGATCTGATATAATACAATAGATTTATATCTTTCCAGAGATAGCTGTCTTTCCTCCACACAAACTCAATGAAACAGTCTCTTCTTGAAGTTATTTTGTTTCATTAAATTTCTATTAACATCCTTTTTTATTGTTGCTGACAGTCGTTCTCACCTATGCTTAATGCTCTTTGTTTTAAAATTTTCTACTCCTTCAAACAGATTAAGGGATCATCTTAACACTTTGTATTTACATACACACACCACCCCTTCTGATAAACAGATAATCTTTGTAACACTGTGTTAAATGGCACATTTTATTTCCTTTCCATATTAAAAATAAGAGCTTCCTGCATTCTCCCTGCTCAAATTACATGGATTTTCTTTAAGATTAGGGCATACGTTGGAACAGCAGCATATAATTTTCCTGCACAATAATTTTTTTTCCAGCTGAAAGGTATCCTATAATATCATCAGCATCAACAGGAACAGACACCTGATTTTCAGCTAGACAAAGCTTATGTGTTCGGTGACTTTATTCCCTGTGAAAAGCAGCTTTCAGATACCAAGCAGCAACATGAAAATTTGAAAACAATCTAGCAACTCATTCTTTGACCACAAAACGCTAGGCCAAAATAAGAGGGAAAAAAACATTATCAGTAATAAGATAGTGTAATTTCTGATTTTTGTTAATCTAACTTTACCCTCTGCTAATTTCATGCACACTCGGAAATTGAACATAGGCATCGCCCTTCCTAAAGGCTGTATGGATCCCCTAAAACAGTAAGTAAATGCATTCACTCAAGTAGAGTGCATATGCATGGTTTCATTTGTTATGGGTTATTAACCAATTCCATCAACTCATTAGAATTGATAAAAATAAGTTGTATTTCCAAAAGTAACCATTTTAAAGAGAATTTGTCCTTACAAAGCTGAAATTCAAACATTTTTACTTGCTTACTACTTTGTACATTAAGGTCACTCCAGAGATGTAAGTGCAAACCTAGTTATCTTTTGGATGACATATGGCAAGATCTCCAACTCTTTGTAGCTTTGGAAAGTTACATCTGCCTGTTCATTCAAGATGCTAAGCATATTTTCTGTGTTGACAAACACAGAAAATAGCAGATGGCAAAAAGCAAATGCTCCATGTGAAGCAGTGGGGATCATCTGAAGAAAGATTAGGCTCCAACATTTGCCATTTTATTTTTAAACATAATTCTACAGTTAAAATAAAATTCCACCATTTATTATGCTTGATGCTACTGAACATCTGTGACCAGAATATTCCCCACAACAGAACGAATGTTACATTAACTGCAATTAGTATGGGAGACGTTATGAATTTTTTATGAACTTCATGAACTTTTGGATTTTAACATAATTAGCACAGTACAATTAAGTTAACTTCTGCTGCTACACATAAGCCAGAAAGCTTTCTGGACTCACCAGATAACTTATCACAAAATCTTTAAGCAAACCGTACGTGGCAGCACTCATCACTCACCCCGGCTTTCTAAGCTGGAATTACTCTGCCAAGCCTACCTGCTCTGCTCTCACCACCATACATGAAAATGTCTGGAGCACCTGCACATAGACCTGTTCTCTGCCCCCACCAGTACTACTACCTCCAGTAGCAGCTTTAGAAAACAGTAAGCGACCATTTCATGAGTCAGAGGCATGCAGCCGCTAAGAGCTCCAAGTACAAGCTCTGCTAGGGGAGCAGGGAGATTACTTTAGATGAACAAGGACTGCCACAGGTAAGTTGAGAGGTCCAGTACTACACTAACAACAAACAGGGGATGCACAGGGAATAATGTCAGGATAGGACAAACATACCGTAACACTTCCCTTATATATTGCACCAATATTCAGAAGTCCACAGCTCATGGCTTTCTAGATCAGAGCCAGTATTGTTGTGCTAACATACCACAGCACTTTTCTTCCAGGAACTAACAACTTTTTTAACCATGAAACCCTCTGGACTCAACAATCTCTGTGGCAATGGCTTTCACACTATAACTACATATTGTAATCTCCCGTTGATCCTATAGTCAATGAGTTTATTAGGTACATAAAAACAATTCTTTTATTACCACTGCTCAGACTGTATGTTTACAGACAAAAGACTGTGGTAGATGCATCTGTAAACAGAACAAGTCGAGTCTGTAGTAGCTCTACTAAAAATAATAGGTTGAACAGAGACAGGATGTATGCTAACAATAACTGACAAGCAACAGATCTGCCTTGAAAAAAACACGTACAAGTCAGGAGCAGGCTTTTAGTCAGAAAAACAGATCCATCACTGACAGTGAAAAAATTTTGAGCCAAGCAATGTAAGAGAAAAAAGATCTTTTCTTTAACATTCCCCAACAACTTTTCAAAGAGCACTGGCCATTTAGTTTGGAAATTCACAGATTTTAAAGAAAAGCTTGTAGATTGAAATAATATTTCAATCTTCTAGAAATACAGGCAGTTGCAAACAGTGTCGTAAACACTCTGAACTATGAGTTCTCACTTCATAGGCTTCCACTAACTACATAATAGTATGGCGATGTAACACTGAGGGTCAATTTCATGTGAGGAAAGACACAGTTTCAGTTCTGTTCTACTTGGTGACAAACAACTCTGAGCAACACTTCATGTACAATTTTAATATCATTATTACATACTTTCACAGTTAAAGAAATACATTAATTCCATTACAATATTCGGCTGAAGTTAACCACCTATCTGAACAGAAAACATATTTTATGTTGTGGTTCCCACTATTGCTTTCATCAAGGACAAAGACTAATACTAAAATCTTCTTCACATTTTACCAGTAACTCCATAAAACAAAAAACATTAGGAGGTCTGAAAAAACAACTTAGTTCTACTTGTGGCTGAAATAGAAGCTTGACTTCCAATGCACTCTACTACATTGATTTTTCTAACATTTCATAGCAAGTACCTCTATCTGCCTGCACATGTTTTGTGAAATTTATAAACCTAGGACTCTAAGTACACAGATCTAAGTTTCAGACAAGGTTCCTAAAGAAGTAAGTTAGTATGAGCCATTGAGAAGGAGTAGATGTACAGCAAGATTATTCAAGCAATTCATCTAAGAATAACAGTATCAAAACGTGTTCATTTGGAACACGTTTCCCATCAGTGAAATTACCTTTAAATACAGTTTTCGCAGGGGCTAAATAAAAATAAACAAAAAGCATGAATTTATTTAAGCTTTGCCAATTCAGGGGAGACTGAGTTCTGTTATTCTCTTTAACTCACTTAAAAAGCCCAGCTTCCTACCACACTCACTCTGACACATCAAACCAAGCATGATTAGGCATGCATATGTGCTCTAAAGCCTTGACAATACTAATAGTCTAGTTAGCAGCAACCTAAAAGAATATAAGAAAAGTGGGTTCTGCTCACCTTCTTTCTTCTCTACTAGGTTGCCAATTTTCATTAAGCTTAGGAATTTAATTATCTCAGGACTTCTGTTTGTCTATCAAGTTTGGTTAAAAAATTGTCAACAGTATCAAAAATGCATGCCTAATCTTGCTCTTAAAAGCAGATTCAATCATCTCTGGAGCAAAAAGCTCATGAAAGACAGAAAAAGTTCATTCAAGAAAGAGTAAAACAGAGGAACCAAGAATAATATGAAGTAATTTTGTAGAGCTCTTAGATTCCTGTACACGAAAACCAAGAAGCCAGCAAAAATGAGAAGAATTCACAGTCTTAATGCATGACCAAAGCCATGACTATAAAAAATGCACTAGAAGCATTCAAAGAAAACCTAAATTGATATTCACATATTTTCCTCACGTATATTTTCTATCCCATTACTTAAGACTATCAGAAAAAAATGGTTTTGCTCTTTGAACCTGGCTTTTACATATTCAAGGATTTAATTTGGGCCACTGTAACTACAGGTGTGACAGTCGTACCTGTAGTACCATAAGTACCTATTAGCACATTTCATGACTATGTGCTACTTTTCTTTTTTTGACTTGTACATCCAATTACATAGCACTAGATGAATGAGTATTTGACATAGTTCATTCATGACTGTTTAGGAAGGCTGAAAGACACATCAGAGTTTTGGAAACCGAATAACTCAAGCTCTATTTGTGACATAAATTCTGGATATTTATTAAACCATCCTCAGTGAACCAATATTATAAACTCACTCCAATTAACCACGTTTACACACCAAAGCTAAAAACAAAGCCTACAGTTATTATTTTATGGTTTTTGAAAGTTATTTTTGCACATCTCAAATAATAAAAGCATACTTACTAACAAAGCAAGTCTCTGGTACTTCCGTTTTAGTTCTCCTGGACTGTCTGATGGCTTTGCACCCAGGATTTTGTACCAGTCCTTTTGTGTTATCCTTTCCAAGGCCATACTTATGGCTTTCAAACTATTTTTTTTTAGTGCTGTGTAAAAATAAACGAATAAAATTACAATTTGAAGAAGAAAATTAGAAAAACAAGAACAAGAAAACGTTAACAGGCTAGATGACCATGAAACAGGTTACAGCTCTCAAGCACATCGACTGCCTTATCTGAAAATCTCCCATGTAAACGCCAGCTTACTCGTTCACATGGCCCATTCCATCCCATAGGGTACATGTCATATGGAAAGGGATTTAAATTACACCTTTCTGGCCTAGTTCTAAGTATATTATGTTTTTAGAAGTTGTTCAGACTCTTTTAGAATTGATTGAACTGCAAGATTAGAGTTTAATCTCGCAGTTTAACTGTCCTAACTACTTTGAACCTACCCGTGTTTTAGGTAACGTACACTTCTTATTTTTAAGTAATGCTGTAATTTGTATGTTGAAGAGGAAAGTACAGCAGAGCGAGCCGCTTGTCCATCCCTGATGAGATGCGTGCAAGATCACAACATCTGCCTCACATCCTGCACAGTGCGACCCCTCCTTCACCCTGCCTCTTCAGAAGACAACTTCCTAGTAACAAAGTACCACATATATATATATATATATATATATATATATATAAAATAACAAACAAAAAGCCCACAACGCTTTTAGGAACGCGGGGCTGGGGCTGGGGCTGGCCCCCAGCAGGCGGCCGAGCCCTACCGGAGCCTCCCCTCCCTCCCCCCCCTCACCACCGCCTCAGCTCGGCGCGGCCGTTGGGCACCAACGGCCGGCGGCGCGCGCCCCCCTCCCCTCCGCGCACACCTGCCCCGCGCCTCACGGCGCCTCACGGCCCCTCCGCGCCCGCTGCCGGTGCCCGGCCGGTGCCCGGCACCCCTCTCCCCGTCGGGAAACAGCTCCCGAGCGCGGCGGCGGCGGCTTGGCGGGGCTCGCCTCGCCTTGTTTCCACACGGACAGCGGCGGCGAAGGCACCGGCAGGAAGCGGAGCGCGGGCCGGGCCCGACGCGGTCTCCATGGCGACGCGCTGTAAGTAACGGCCCCGCCCCTCCCGCCCCTCACCGCCTCACGGGGCGGCCTTCGGGGAAGTGCAGCCCGCCCGGTGCGTTTCATGTGCAGAGCGCGCCTCTCTGACGAAATTTTTCCTCACAGTGTTAGAAATAAAGCGATCTTTTGTGCCTTTGCCCCCCCTCGATGTTATATTTTGAGGTGTTTTGAGGGTTGGTCTTCGCTGGTCACCCTGTCTGGCCTTAATGGCTTGTGAAGCTCTTGGCTGGTCTCCTGGCAGTTTGGTAATCTTTTACTGCTAGAGATACCCAAATTATGTTACTCCAAGGTCTGTTAAAATTAAACTGGTGTTCAGGAGGGAGCAGGGCCAAACTCCTCCCTTCTCCTTTTGATAGCTTCCACCTGGTAAGCCTGTATGTAGCTAAACCCAGCCATAGGTTTTGTTGATTTTTCCCCTTCCGTTGACAAAACAAAGCCAAGCAAGTGCGAGAAACTTACCCTGAAAGCCTGGGAGGAAAGGAAATGGACGTGGAAATTATGCAGGTCTGGGACTGCTGTCCCAGAATTTGGAGGTACAGGAGATACAGAACCCAAGGCCGCAAGGCTTTCTTTGTTGTTTACATATGTTAAATTATTATGCAAATTATTAATCTATTGATTAATCTATTCATTTCACTGGCAGTGGGATGCCTAAATGTCATTAGTTTTCTTCTCTTGTTTACATGTTAGATAATACGAGCGTAGATTATATTTTTTATCATTTTTTTAGAATATTTAACATTTTAATAGATGCTTTTTTGGAACTGACGCACAGTATTGTCTTTTGTTGTAATAGCAGTACAGAGAAATATATTTTTTTTAAGAAATTAACCACCACCAATGTAATAAAAGATGAGGGCAAATGATGAATGGGCCCCTTCTTACCTAATTCTTGTCAGAAACAGCTGAAACATCCAGACTTTTTGAATTTTTGATTATTTTTTTTTATTTTTATTTTTTTTTACTTCTGAAGACAATTGGTATTTTCCAAAATGTTGTACAGACTATTAAAGCAGGTTTTTTGTTTTGTTGTTGTTGTTGCATGGTTTTATATTGCTGTATATGTGTAGAAAAGAGATACACGTAAAAAGAGCAAGTTGTATGAAAATCAGAAGGTGGGTTTTTCTACAATTATTTTCCGTATAGAACACTTCTTTTGGCGTTATGCAGTAGTGCTTTAGCATCCAATATGTACTAACACAAACAATCACTGAGTATATCTTTATTGTTTTTGTTCAATATACAAGATAGAGTATGTTAAAGTCTTGCACAGATAGATGTTTTCTAGTTGTTCTTTATTTTTTCCAAATTTTTATGTGGCAATTAATAAGTGCAATGAACTAATATGGCAGCTAATGATACAGTATTTCCCACTGGGGTCTTGCCAATGGCCTGATGTTTTCATTCTGACCAGCTGAGTACATTCAGAAGATTTATTTATTTATTTATTTTTCCAAACGAAGTTTTCTGTCAGGGCTATGGTAGGCAGTTGACTCAAACGAACAGGCAAAGTGAAGATTTCAAATTCTGTTTCTTGGAAATGATTGTTTTGTCTGTAAGAGAAAATAATTTGTTCAACTTTGGCAATGTTAGACTTATTTTTTTAATCTTGATATTAAAAATCAGTGGAAGAGGATCAATGTATTGATCTAGAATATATCAGTCCGGAGAGCTGAATGTTAAGTTCTTCCAGAATTTGTTTTAATTGGGTCAGATTTGTCAACAGGAAAAAAGAAAAACAAAGTTTAGTCTCCCAGGAGATGAGGATATGATAGACTAAATGTCATAATGATGTGAACAAATGAGATGTAACATGCACTGAAAATATATGTTTTCCATTAAATTTTCACAAAAATGATTGAAAACGTCTTGGGAATTATTTAAGCAATTTACAATATTGTTTAAAAAAGGGTACATCTGGGCACACTGAGTATGGTCTTTTGTCGTTCATTAGCAATGTATTTAATGAGGGTTTTTTTAAGTGATAGATAGTTAAGGTAACAGACAAGTGACAGATTGTTTGTCTTTAACGATTTCCCTATTTCAGGCCCATTACAAAGCAATTAGAAATCTGACAGCATTTTTACTCTGCATTACTGATCATCTAAAGTGATGAGAAATGAGAGGTGATGAATATTAATTGTATATTTTCATATAATTATCATAAATTATTACCTTGTCTAGTGTGCTGCAGGTGGAGTAAACAATGGATGAAAATTCAGTCAAGTTTGATAATTTGAAAGATTTTATGACTTAGATTTTATTTTTTGTCTTTAAAGTGTGGTGTCAATCAGTTTAAACCAGGCACTGTTACTGAGGGAAAGACAAAGATACCCATACCTTTCCTTCCTTTGCTAGCATAGTCAGCATGGTGTTTACATGTCCTGCACCCTGCTCCAAATTATTTGACTTTTTTAGCCTGCCCCACTTACACTGGAGCTTTATCTTTGCCTGTCTGACAGTTTTGCATAAATATTTATTTAATGTTTGACCATTAAAATGATATTAAAAGCCATGCACTTGACTGAACCAAGAACCAGATATTTTCATCTTTTATCACTCATTTGGTAAATATCCCTTGTAATGTATCACTTGTTTGCGCTGTGCTTTTTGTCTCAGTGGACCTCAGCTTCTATCTCATTCCAAAAATGAGATGTGTTCATGTGACTTGTTTGTTCAAAGTACAGACTTTTATTCAAATTTTGCTCTGAGGATTAAACCATCATTCCACAGTGAACTGACATTACAGAATCTTATTTGTTTCCACACACTAATGAGACTTTGTAACACCCTCATATCTCACTCATCTCGAAAGTTTAAAGGTCGTGACTGCTTTCTTTTTAGACGGGGAGAAAGGAGGCACAAAACTTGAAGTGTGAAAGTAACAATGAATTTTTGTGTTCTGTTTTGGAATAAAAAGCTCCTATAGCTTATAGTACTTACCTTTATACTGTATCTCTTATGTTAGGTGCAATTTCAACTGCAATTAATGGAAAAACCACAAGAACAGATCACAGATGTTCCAAATCAGCTATCTAGGAAGTGTGGCTACTACTTGTTTTTCCTGGGAGATTTTTGTTGATATGACTTATTCAGTATCACTTAAATTTTTGAGGCAAACAAGAACGATATCCAATTTATCCAGGGCAGCACACCTTAGGCAATGAGACAACTCTCTCTTTTCCTGCATCCCCCTGCATGTTTCTTGGTCATTGAAATGAGCGAATTGGAGAATTTACACACACACACAAAAAAGGGATTATACAAAGTCTGTCAGAATCCGCGTACTTAAGAATGTCGGATAAAAACTGCATGTGCACAGTTATATTTTTATTGTTCTCGACTCTGCAAACTTGATAATTTAAACAAATTGCATTTGAAAAATTATATTAGCATTACTAGTGTAATATTCTAGCTTCCCAAGTTGCTGTATTACTAAGTAAGAATATGGACTGGATTGTCATCTCGTGGTGACAAATCCAACAAGAAGCTACTGTATTTGTTGGTTTGGTCTGTGAGCATAAGAACATAAGAGTTGCCAAACTGGGTTAAACTAAACACCTACTTTGGTTAAACCAGGCACTGTCTCTGACAGTGGCATGCCTGTGGTGGATCAAAAAGGTAGAGCAGCAGTGCAGAGAACAAAGGAGTTCCTTCACATGTTAAATCCTTCAGTATGTGATTTTTTTATATTAAAAAATTATTCCGTGGGTCAACAATATGTAGTTACTAGTGGCCTATGGGAATGAAGGGTCTAGTTCATTCATCCTTGGTTATGCGTTGTCAAGCGTGGTATATTCAAACCTCTACCCTCATCAGTGGGCTTCCTTTTAGACGTCATGCTGTAAAAGGCCTAATTCCAGTTCTGATTGTCTGCAAATGGGAAAGCTAGTATGGCTAGACTGGACAAATACCATGGTGTCCTTGCTGCTGATGTTCATTTTAATCTGTTATTTGTGCTGTATGTAGCCAAGGTCCAACTTCATTCAAGTTTAAATTGCACATACCTAAAAATCTCCTCTCCCACCCCCATTTTTGTGCCAGTAAGTAGCATCGTAGATGTTTTTATAGTCTGTGATTTTAAACCCATTTAGGTCATGGAGGCTGAGTAGAATTACTTAATGAAGGATTGCATCGTGCTCTTTGCGATTCTGGGACAGGCATACTTTTCTGTGGCACCCATTGCTCTCAGTATCCTTCTGCAACTCAGGTAGGAAAGAGAGCCATTCTGTGCCTTTCCTTTTTCCATGGCTGATACAGAACAGTTTTAACACTCATTCACTCTCAGTGTTAAAATTGTAGTTATGCCTGGCTTGCATGTGGAAATTTCAAACACAAGGACCCTTTTCTGTAGTTCCTCTTGTACGTATGTTCGTGTTCTGCTTAATCACACGCTGCTAACCATGTACATAAGGCCACACGTTATATCATTGTTTCATCTTTTTAAAAAATTCCAGTAATGAAAAGACTGAGACTCTTTGTTGCTATAAC